TACAAAACGCAACAATCCTCCAGACCATCGTGGATAAAACATAAAAAGGAAAATGGTGCGTTCATCGGCTCACCAGCCAGTAATTGTTCTCGTCCGACAGCTTCCCACTCCAGATCTCTGTCAGCAGGTTCTGGACTCCGGAGTGCGCGATGAAGTTCTTGTTGTCGGCCTGCTTGGCAAGGCTCAGGCTGGTGGTCCTACCCCAGTTCTCCTGTTCCCTCACCAGCAGGAGGGAGGTGCGGTCAGAGTCATCGTTGTAGCACTCGTTCAGCACACCCAGGGCCAAATCTTCATAGCTCCTACGGGATACGACAATTTCAGGGAATTCCTGACATTCAAATATCAAACAAACGAACCAGTTGAATTGGACACAATTTCATTCTGCATAAACGGAAAAGTGACATCCTTGCTTTCAACATGTCAACTTACGTGGCATGCGACTGCATGAAAGTGCTCTGGTCAGGGTCAGGTTCCTTCGCAGCCAAGGATGTCAATATTTTGCTTGCAGTCAGGGCGCTAGGAATGGCTTCCTTCCCTTCCTCCCAGAACATTCGCGCCATCTGCTCCCGATTCTGCAGGACAGCATAGAGGAAGAGCTCTCGCACTGGACTGCGGAAGTCTCGGTTCTTCTCCGGAGAGTCTTAAGCAGTAATGAAAAAAAACCCCAAAAAATAAATACACTACATAATTAAAAGAGTTCAACTGAACTCTAAATAATTAAAGAGTTCAACTGAACTCACCTTTCTACCAGCAGTTACTGAATTACTGATAATTCAAATCTAATTTTTCCTCTTTTAATGTGAAATTAATTCCTGTTGACCAGCCTTGCCTCAGCAAAACTTATTTACATGCCAGGTGATGTTCTTGCCGACCTGGCATCTCTGTCGATCTGGCTTCTGATCTGGTGTCAGTATAGGACCCTAATGGCCCACTAACTGCCACACTCTTTCTCTGCTTATGATGTCCTGTTCCTTACCAGGTCGAGCCATGTTATTGGACACAGCTCGGAGACCCTCCATCAGGGTGTGTTCGCGTCTTATCTCCCCTAACTCCTCTGTGGGCCTATCCAGCCCTCTGCAGATGTCATTCTCCGATAGAAAGTACTTGCTCCTCTCCCGCAGGTACAGGGGCTCGTAGGTGTCCATGGTCAGCTCCTGGATCACTTTGCCGACATCCACAAGGGTGAACTTCCTGGACGACTGATTAAAAACAATCACATAAAACAGACATGAGACTTCAAAGCTACATACATGTACATGTAGGATTCCGGTGCAAATCCTTTTGTCACTGACAGACAGAGATTGTAAACATCAGTACTAGCCATGAACAAAACATATGACACTATTTTCCATAATGTGACAGTATGTGTAGGCTGTCTTTTATCATGCCCATAGTGCCACTTCTGTGAAAGCTAATACATAGGAGCACAGTTTTTGTCCACCACTATCCGAAGCACTGGATATCCTTTGCATGTGGGGCTCAGTTTCAAGACCGATTTCGTAAATGAACAAATCCTGATCCCAGGCCCAGTGCCCAGAACAAGTTACAAAACAAAGAAAGTCGCAAAAACTGATCATCATGAACACGAATTGAAGTGGCACTTTTCATTTTACTGAGATTTTCGAAAGATTTAAAGATAATTTTGTCTGGAAAAGAGCCCTGGACTGCTAGGCTTAAATGGAAGCTTGGATGCAGGTGCGGCTGATTCTTGAGTTTACGCAAGCTTGTGCCCAACTAAGGTCTGCCTGCAGAATTCAGTCCCCCTCAATAGGGATAAATTGGCAGACACCTAAGCTCTGCTAGCACCATACAAATGGTGGCAGACATGAGGACCCAACAGGTTTCACAGTGCATTTT